TCAGACACACCAGAAAGCACCCTGAGGAGCAGAAATTACCTGTTACGGTGGCTTATACTGATCAGAAGGAAATTCAACACAAGATTGCTGTTAACAGTCGTGCCTATGAGTACTTTTGGAAAGCTTTTCATTCACAAATTTCAGGCGCTCTAATGGCAGTTAGTGGTTTAACTTATGTTTGTCTACAGTTTGCATTCTGTGTGCATTTTGAAAGATTAATCTAAAGTGGAAAGCTAACCTCGAAGAAGCGGCAGAACTCATTCATATCTATTGCATGTAAAAACAACTGGTCAGAGACTGAGATGCACCCTCTGGCACGCAGGATGGACTCGTCAGCTTCTGTTCCTGCAACAGGGTCAGCTACCATCCTCCTCCACAGACCTCGGGCAGTTTCTCATGAACCGAAATGGACTTCGCATGCGGGCACAGATCAATGCTGCGAGACTGCACTGCAAAATCAGACCAGTTTTTAACACAGAAGCTTTCAGTGCCACGTACTGTAATGTTTTGTTTCGTTCTTCATTGCCAAAGGTGCCATATGCAAATGTTAACACTGTTGGTACAAAGGCAGCATGGCTGCATGGCCTAAACTCTGTGTTAAAATATGGCCCTGCTCTAGAAATAATCCTGCAAAACCAGTGTCAGGCGATTTCACTCTTCTCCCTTGCTATAGTATCAGATCTTCTCACTTTACAAGACACTTTTACCATCTCGCGCGGGAATCGGAGCCGCGCCGAGTTCCTCCTGGCTCACACCTCACTACCAGGGACAAGGACTCGTCAGCTGGAGCTAGGACACTAACGCTGCTGACGTGTGAGCCAGGGTGCATCCCAGTCCCCGTTTCGGAGCTGCGCTGTCTCTGGGATGCCAGTGTCACAGAGACACCCCACACCTTGTCCTTGGGAGCAATGCAGGAAGGGACGGGGGTCTTCCCTAGGGCACAACGGAGCAGAAATGAATGGTCTGCAGATGGGCAAGGCTACTTACCCCACGGGGCACTGAGAACTGCTCTGGCTTGTCCCTTTGCTGAACAGCAGAGGCAGGAAGGCTCTCTGGGAAAGTTTCCTTCATCAGTAGCTGAACTTAATTCTCTTTTAGCCATTTATCTACTCCTTTGCTTCACGTGCTAGTTCTTAGTCATAGCGGCAAGAACAATTCTGACAGTATTTAATTGCTAAGAAACCAAAACATATAGTCCTCTGGCAGGAAGGGGGTCCACCCTTCAGTCCCAGTGTCACATGTGTGCCACGCCGCGTGCGCCTGCTCCGGGGACAACACTTACCCTTTGCTTGTCAGGGTCCACAAACCGAATTCCAAAGTAATCCTTCTCCAGCAGGTTTAGGTGGTGGCAGAGAAGGTCAAACAGGTATTGACCCTTGGCATCTCTCTGCAAAACAAAGAAACTGCATTCACAAACTGAGACGAGCACAGTGGCCGAGCAGAGGAGAGCCGGGGTGCACCGAAACGCCCAGCAGCAGCACACCCCGCGGCCCCTCATGCCAAGGAAGGTGCAAACCTCATCACCTCCCCTTGAGTTTCACCGGCGATATTTTTACTTTAGCAAACCATATCCTGTGCAAAAGCAGCTGACAGCAGGACCTAAGCCTTGGTCAGTTTAACTCCCTGGTCCCCACTCTGCATACAAAAACCTGAAACATTGTGCCCAGGCGAGTGTGCTGAGACTGACTGGAGATCATCAGGAGATCATTACGCTGGCTGAAAAATACTGACACTTTTACAACAAGTCTACTTCCAGGTGGTAAAAACAAGAACACAAAGCTGCCTGGGGTGCATGGTAAGAGCATCTGTCACCGAGAAGCCACGAGATCATGGGAGCAGAAAAACCACCACCCAAAAATAACAAAACACAAATTATTTTAAGAGCAGAAGAGGAAAACTATGAGCAAGGCCAGAGGTCTTTTTGAAAATTACACTGCAGCTCTAATAGCAGTGAAGAATTTGATATAGAAGCTGTAAAGTGAGATTTTTCTCATCCATTTTTCTGGTCCAGGGAGTCAGGTAAGCAAGGTCACAGTGTCTTACATTTCCTGTTACTTAGAATCTCTTTCCAATATACGCATCACAGATCACGGTCAACTCATTTCCTTTAGCTATGTTAAGTAGTCTTTCCTTTGCCTTGCGCCACTATACGATTCCAGTGCTAGCCTGTTTATTTTTAGCACATTTCTTCTGTGCCCTTTTCTTCCATTGAGTGGCTAGGAAAAAATCCTTCTCTTTTCCTTGTCCCTGCTGGTTTTGCGTTACGATGTGCTGTGGGAGAATGACTCTACGTTTGTATACTTTTTCCAGTACCAGCTTGTTGTGCTACCAGAACTTCATTCTGGAGAAACCAGGATCTCCAAGTCCGAAAAGAAATAGCTAATCTGCATTCTGCCGCTCAGTTAAGCGCCGCTGAACTGCGGCACAACTGCTCTGGAGGCCTGCGATGCATACCGTGTCCAGTTACCACTGTAGAAAGGGCAGGGCATCTACAGAAACGTACTGGAGTTTCAATCTCACCTCCATAACGGCACTTAGTAGCTTTGCTCTCTGGCGTGTTTAAAATTGCACATTCCCTGCAGACCTGGCCATGGGAATAAGTGATACCGTGCATTATTTCTGGATTTGACTATCCAGTCCTCTGCACTGTCACATCTGCTAGACTGTCTCAGGAAATTAGTACTGGTTTTGGCCAGCTTCTTTAATCAGCTCTAAAGAAGCACAGCCCTTTCACTCCGCGACTGCTGCAGCATATACATCAAACACATTACAGTGGTTTTAGTGAGAAGCTGGGGTAGTGACTGTGGAAAGAAAAATGTGTCTCAGAAATGAAAACTGCACAGCTTTGTAAGGGCCTATGTGCCAGCACAATTTACAGATAGAACCAGATCAAACATTGGAGAAGAATTTTAAAGTATTATGGATATAAAATTTGAGATATCTCAAATTATTAAAAATTGAATTTCCAGTCCTGCAAAGACTGAAGCACATACCGTAATTCAGCGCACTCCGAGCTATTCCAGTGCATTACTGTGCCCAGGACACTTTAGCGTATTATGTATTTGGTAAGGGAAATGCAGCACTCAGCGGAGCCAGGAGTCCCGAGGACCACGGCAAAGGCCACTCGCAGCCCGGCCAGCAGCTGAGGTCACTGCTGGAGACGGGCTGCGTATCTTCTCTTGAAAAGATGATTGCCATTTTTTCTAGAAATGGTTTACTCGCCTATTAAAGATTTGAAGTCAAAAAACTGAGAAGAATGAGGAGGTACACAGATATTTTTTGGTTCAATACTTCCTTTGCTCTCCAGAATCACGTACGTAAGGGATGTTGAGCTCACAAATATGAGGTGGTTTATCAGCAATGAGGTGATTTACACAGCTTAACTGTAAAGCAGCGCAACTCTGAATATAAAAACCCCTATATTAAATCAGTTTAACTACTCCAAATTTTTAAATCCCATTTATAATTAACCACTAATTTTTAACACATGGACCAGACCTAAAATACACCCTCACAACTCAGGTACCTCTGTTCCCTCCACCGTGCCCAGCACACAGTCCTGAAGCAGGTGCCTGCAGCACCAGTATTCTGTTGTGTGCTCCTCTGTTTCTACTACTGCTGGTGTAAAAAACAAAAGGAAGAGACACGGGTAATTTCAAGTTCTTTTGAACATCATGGAGAAAAAACATCCACCCTTTACCAAAAGGAAAATAATAAAGAATTTGTACCCTCTACAGATAACCACGAGAACAAGCATTAAAGAGGAATTCTAAACTATTCTAGAAATAAAACATGCTGTATCTTAAAATTATACAAAAATGAAGCTGTCGCCATGCACAGACTAAAACATGCACTCAATTCCACCCGCTGCCAGCAGCCCCAGCACGCTCGGGCACCTTCTCCTGGCGCACGCTCAGAGGAGGAGGGAGATGGAGCCAGAGGCCCCGGGAGCCCCATCGCACCAGGACGCGTCCCTGCTCACCTCTGCCTGAGCAGTCCCAGAGACGCAGTTATAATTTACGCAATTATTTTCTCGGATAATATCAAAGCACTGTAGCACCCCAATAGCTTTCATAAATCAAAGTTAAGAGCAAAGATGGAGCTGTATTGTCAACTTCACACCTTATCTAATTAAAACTAGACTCTAAAGACCCAGTCCTAAGATGTGGTAAGTGCCCTCAAGGCTCAGAGAAGTTACCTACAGGATCTGCCTCCAGAGACGCTGATGCGTCATTCGGAGCCCTATTTCCAGAGGAGTCCCACCTTCAGAGGCACTCGCGGAGAATGAGGTCATCTTAGTATCCAGGTTTAGTATCAAAATCATTATTTATTTCTGAAAAGCTTAAAGCATGTCACCCAGCCTTGGAAAAATGTCAGATGGGAACTTTTCTTGCCAGGGACCAGAGAAGAAAGGTGAAAACAATTCAACCCTTGCTGTCTCTGGCTACTTAACAGCGGTGCAGGTCTGAAAGAATTGCACCACAGTCCCTGGGCTGCCATGGTGCGCTGAACAAACCGAGAGGATCCGGCCCATCGGCCCAACAGCCTTCCTCGGCTAGCTCGGAGAGCTGGCCAGTGCCGTTTGGTTTGCCGAACCAGCAGAGCAACCTACGGGCTTGCCTGTTCTGCAGTTGATGTGAAACCTGCTTTAAAGTGTTTCATCTTATGAGATCAAATGTTGCTCCCGACAGCTGACACTGCTTCCTTAAGATAACACAAGTTTCTGTTTTCCTACAAATACATTTAATGCATATATTATCTGATCAAATAATCACTCAACAGAAATGGGCCGTGCAATCAGGGAACCCCTGCAGGCCTGGCATTAACCCATTTTTGGAGTTTGATACATTATGATAAATGTCACTGCATTTTAAATATACAGTTCTTTGTTTAGAGTCATGAAGTTCAGGCTGAAATTATGCAAATACAAAATGACTTGCTTACTTCACGTAAGCCTTCGTTGCTGAGGTGCCTGACCTTTACAAACAGCAAAGCAGTCCCCAGGGCTAGCAACAGTCTTCCACGAACCCATCTGGAGGGCTGTCGCTGGAGCGGGCGGGCTGGTCCAGCTCCCTGCAAGAAAAGCCCTGCATTTCCACGTGCAAACGCAAGCAGAGGTCTGTCCTGCTTGCAAGGCTGCTGCATTGAGCTGGTGCTCGGCCAGCGGTAACAGGTTGATCGAGTATTTTGGGCAGTTGCAAATAGGAGTCAGCGGTGAGACACAACTGTGCGGCGAAGAGGAAAGGGCTCTGCTTGAGCCAGGGGGTGTGAAACATCAGATCCAGCTACAACCGAAACAGCAGAAGTGGAAAAACCAGCCCCTGCATCCGGCCACGCGAGCCCGGCTCTGCCGAGGGCCCTCTGCTCGCTCGCAGAACAGCCTGGGAGCTGCTCAGTCGTTAGCCTTAAAAACCTTCCTCCGACGAGCGCCTTCGACGTGACAGCTTTTTACAGGGGCAACCGACGCGCGGTAAAACACCCAGCGTTAAGAAGAGCGTTTCGGGGCGCAGCCGAAGCCCAAACCCTCCGAGACGTTTGAGCATCGCCGCGCTGAGGGGGACGAGCAAGTTCAGCGCCTTTCGCGAGCGCCCGCCTCTCCGCGGGGT